AAAACTCATTTCCTTTCCTTTTAGGTAGCAATCAAATCACGCCTTCCAACTTTTAAATTCATAAAGAAAAGTGCTAAGTGGTAATGGTTAATCTCTAATCCTTTTACTCTTCAAATTCTAATTGTTGATAAGCATTATTTTTATTATTAATTGGTTTCAAATTTGAACAATAGAATGTGTTGGATATATTGTATTTGTGAGGTTTAATTGTATTTGTGTGGTTTAATTATATTTGAGTTAATGTGTGTGTGTAGAGTTATAGGCTTGTTTTATTATATGAAATCATCTTCATGTTGTTGTGTTGTTAATATGCAGATATATAAATGCATTGGTTATCGCAATTCGCAAAACAATTAATATAAAGTAATGTGTAATATTGGATATGTATATATCTATATGTTATTTCCTGAGTAATATATTAATAACTAGAATTTTTTTTTATTGTTTTAGCATATATTACTAAAAGGGTTCTACACATTTCTTACTACCCTTCAAGTGTAGTTTTAAATTTAATTTTTTTATATATTAATTGTTTTTTATATAAATTAATTAATTGGTAAATGTTACTAAAATAATTTTTATATTTATTTTGTCAATCATTTTCAAAAGCGAATAAGATACTTGATTGAGTGATTTTTTTTTCTAAAACAAATGTAATGTTAAACTTTCATTTTTAGAACACGAAAGAAGATAACTTTTGGAATCTAACATTCTAATAAAACTCTCGAATGATCAGTCCTAAACCTCCTAAACCTTGTGCTTTGGGGTAGCTTTTCATTCTCCTCTTTCGTTTTAAAAACCACTAAATATCAACATGAATGAATAAGAGATGTTAAGATCTAACATCTTGGCACAACTCTTTGAACGATTGATTATCATCAAGTATTTGTTGTCCATCAAACAACTTTTATGATCAACTTGGACAAATAAGGGCCGTTAAGATCTAACATCTTGGCACAATTCTTTAAACAATTGATTATCATCAAGAGTTCGTTGTCCTATAAATAATTTTATAATAACTGTGGACGAATAAAAGACGTTAAGATCTAGCATCTTAGCATAAGTCTTTGAACAATTGATTATCATCAAGTGTTTGTCGTCCATCAAACAACTTTCAATATTAACTTTGATGAATAAGAGTCATTAAGATCTAGCATCTTGGCACAACTCTTTGAGCAATTGATTATTATCAAGAGCTCGTTGTCCATTGGATAATTTTCATTATCAACTTGAATGAATATTGAATGAATAAGGTTAGTTGGAATCTAGCATTCTGGCGTAACTCTTTGAACATTTGATCAAATATTTGTCATTCACTTAATATACCTCAACCATCAAATTCTATTTCTATTGCGGCCGTGCGATTAAATTTTTTTCTCAAAAGAACGATGTTTAGTTCCTTCTAATGCGCCTGTAAAGTAAATGTTTAAACCTCCGCCGAGAGTAGAAAACCTAATGTTTTGCCCTTAAATCGCGACCTAAACATTTGTTCGATATAACAAATAAATCTTTTAGTGTCTGAACTATAGACACTCTGATTTCTCATTAACAATGAGGATACGTAGGCACAAGGTCCATAATCCTTGGCGAGCCACCTTTCACTTTTTTCACCGTAGAGCCGAACTACGATTGCTCTGATTCCATCCTTGTAAGGATACATAGGCTTGAGCCTGCAAAGTCTTGGCGAGCACCTTAATAATAAAAACCTCTTTAGGTTCTCTTAATAATAATCTAAAACATTTCTTCTCTTTTTTCCCATTCCATAAGTAGAAGATTTAGAAACAAACCTTAAGCTAACATCCATTAGACCCTAACTAAATGGTCCTCGTTGAGTACAACAGACGTGAGGGGGTGCTAATACCTTCCCCTTGTGTAACCGACTCCCAAACTCAGATATTGGTTGCGACGAACATATCCTTATATTTTCTTTTAGGGGTTTTATTCGATATTTTCTCTTTCCTTCTAAAGGAATAAATATAGATCGGTGGCGACTCTGTTAAGTTCATCCTGTGGGTGTGCGATTATGCTCTGCGAGGTTGTTTTCATTTTTCGAGGTAGAACAACAGTCACTGCTTCCTTACAAAATTTATTTGTTTTAATAGTGAGGACTTTCATAGTGAAGCATATAAAGATCTCCTCTTTTATTATCTCTAAATTTTTCCTGAACTGTTTCTTTTGAAGCTCAAAGTCAGCGGGATGCCCCAGTTTTTTACTAAGTCTCCTTCATAGATTTTGAATTAGCGGACTTTTTCTTTTGATTTTTCTTTTTTTCTTCTTCCTTTTTTTTTAGAAGGAAAGTGTTTGTCTGACTTAATGATTACGGTGAATCATCATTGACAAATTTTCATATTGGAAATATAAAGGAACGCTACTCATGGCAATCGTACAAGATGGAAACAACAACATTTTTCCAATCGCCTTCGCTCTAGTTGAAAGGGAGACTGCTGGTGGATTGATTTTTTTCCTAAAAAATCTTCGATAACACGTTGCTCCTCAACCTAACTTATGTTTGATTTTAGACAGACATGCATCAATTGAGAGTGCATATAAAAATATTGATAACGGGTGGCAGGATCCTCCTTCAACGCATGTCTACTGCATTAGACACATCGCTCAAAATTTCATGCGGGAGATCAAAGACAAGACGATGCGGAAGAAAGTTGTGAACACAAGGTATGCACTAACAGAACCTTCCTTCAAACACTACCGCGAAGACATCAAATTGACAAATGTAGATGCAGTAAGGTGGATTGACAATATTCCATTGAAGAAGTGGGCAAGGGCATACAATAATGGACAACTATGGGGCCACATGACAACAAATCTCGTGTAATCAATGAACTCTGTCTTCAAAGGCATCTGAAACCTACCGATAACCGCTTTGGTGAGGGAAACCTATTTTAGGCTGGGGTCACTTTTTGATATCAGACGCTTAAAATGCAGTTCTGTCTTACCATCTGAGCAACTGTTCAGTGATAGTTCAATGAAGTTCACTATGGATGAAGCTTCCAAAGTTAACACACATGTAGTCTCAGTGTTTGTTCGTAATAAAGGTTGTTTCAGTGTTGTTGAGTCAATGGGTCACAATGAAGGGAGACCGAGAAGATCCTATCGAGTGGAACTAAATAAAAGTTGGTGGGACTGCGGAAAGTTTCAAGTCTTTCGTATGCCTTTCTCCCATGTCATAGCAGCATGTTCAAAGGCTCGTCAGGACCCTTCCAACTTACTATCCCTTGTTTAACAAGTCTTAAACTTATGCAATGTCTACAACATTATCTTTCTGGTGGTAGCAAAAGAGGGCTATTGGCTTATATATGAAGGAAATATAGTCTGACACAATGAAATTATACGAAGAAAGAAAAAGGGTCTCCTTAACAGCACGCGTATTCGTACCGAAATGGATACATCGAACAAAATGGTGAGATTATGTAGTTCATGTCGTCAGCTCAGACACAATAGTACAAACTGTCCCAATGTTGGACCAAGCACAACAACATAATTTAAATGTAATTGTTTCGCTTGTTTCGCTTTATATCAAAAACAACTTTCATTTCATAAATATCATAACATTCCGTTACAATAACTTAAAAACAACAACTAACAATAATTTAAACAATTAAACAACAAAACAAACAAATACAACGACTAAATAACATAATTATGTGATTACAACCATCTTGACAATTTCCTGAGAACTATATATCATCGTGTGAATATCTCTGTCAGTTTTAACATTCTCCCAGAAACGAACTTCTCTATTTTGCTTGAACGTGGTAACAAACCCTTGAATTCTTCTGATCTTTTCACCCTCTGCAATGTCTCCCTCTAACCAATGGATCCGACTCCTGTTAAAATCTTTGAACGTCTCTGTACTCCAGAGACGGTTCTTCATCAGAGGCATTATTGTCGAATAAATTAAATCGACATTTCTCTTGTGGATATAGGGACACATATATGAAGACATTAGGAAGAAAGGAAATAAAAGAAGATTATTAAAATGGAAGGAGATAGTAAGAAGAAGTGCGAAAAATTAAGAGGAGGTGATACTATATTTATAAGAAGTTGGTATAAAGTAGTAGCCATAGCAAATAGTGCATGCATTATGGCAATGAGTACATGCGTCAATCCATATGGCGCATAGATTATGCATACTTCATGTGAGATGACACATAAATATAAGAATGCAAACATGTACCAATTCAAATGACACCTTCTCTTTGTGTCCAACCCAAACATGATTATTTTGGTAATTATTTTTAAAAAGTGATTTATTTAATATTTTATTTGAAAATAGTAATTATTTTTATTTAAAAAGATCCACATTCTTTCCACTTTATTTTACTTTCACTCCTTTCAAACAACTAAAAACTTATCTCTTTCCACTCAATTCTTACACTTTCTTTCTTTTCAATTTCTATTTCTTCAATCCAATGTGGCGATTAAAGGATTAGAACGAAAGTTCTTATCTAATTTCTATTTCAATCCAATGTGGCGATTAAAGGATTAGAACGAAAGTTCTTATCTAAAAAAAAATGGAAATTGCGTCATGAACCACATGGCAAACTAGTCAATTTTTAATGATTATAACTTCCAGCATCAATAATTCAATATTCTTATCAAATCTGAAGATGACACTCTGGCTTTCACCATCAATACACATGTTCAACCCTTTACCACTAATATGTTGAAGAGGATTTATGGTTTAGTGAAATCCAAGGGCAAATAAAACTCATGTCCCGTTCATAATTTGAAGGAGTACCATAATTTTAAATTCTTTTATGTGAATGTGATTTTTAAGACTAATATTTGGTGTGATAACTATAGGATTGCACCAAAGGTTATAAATTGAAGTCAAATTCATTCCACATACTGTAATATAAAAGTTGAGCAATTTACACCAACAGTCAAACTGTACTGAAAAACAGTATGAAATCCACACACAAAATAAGCATATAAACCAAATGGCCTAAATCATCTACAAGCTAATAATATTGAAGAGCCTAATATCTCTTCCAATTGTCCTTCCTGTTATTCCTGAATGCACAGCAGCCGATGGAGTATACAATAACCAGGAAAATCAAGAATATGATGTTGACAACAGCCACCTTCTTCCAATCAGTCTTGAGGTTTTGCAGTAACCCAGCCTTGCAAGATTGGCAATCGAAACACAGAATCTTTGGATCGTTGTTCCAAACTTTACAGTCAGGGTTTGTAGAATTAACATTTCCGGGCGTCCAGTTTGTTGGGCTCACATAAACAAAACCACAGTCCTCTGAAGGCTTACAACATCCAGACTGCACAAAACATCGGAAAAATGGAAATCAGTAAGGCGTCTAAAGTTCATAAACCAGAAGCACAAGTAGATAAAAGTCAGATATAACAACAGAGTAAATACATACACATTCTATAATCATTTTTTGAAATCAAGGACCGACAGTAGAAGTTCTAAGAACGAATTTCAATCCTAGGAACAAATTTATCCCCCAGAAAGAGCAAAGGCAGAACACCTCTGCTTTAAACACGGGAATGAGGTTTGAGTCATTTAATAACTTAAACTCAACATGATTCTATCCTTAAAATCTCACATTACACTGTCTTGTGAAATTTGTGTCTTGTGCAAGGATCTATCAGGCTTTGAACCTCTGAAGCATGTGGGTACTTCTAAAACAGTGAAGTACCGGTACCGGGTACACAGACCATACTCATGGCACGGCGTTTTTTCTCATTACTCTTTTTGAAGTGAAAATTTTAATTTCTTATATATTAAAATAATAGATTTATGTATTTTAGTTTATTTAACTCATTTTTTATAGATACCCATACCTTGATTTCTTTTAAAAATGGAGTATCCCGTACAATGTATCGTATCCATACCTATGTATCATAGGTAACTGATCACTAAATAGAAGTCTAGGAAAAGAAACATTCACTTTTTGTACTGTACTAGTTTACTTGCAATTGCTAACTTTTTGTAATACTCAAGAAAATATTTAAACCACAGAAAATGTCATGAAAGAAGATTCTTATATGTTAATGTCTATGAAGGAAAAATAGAAAATTTTGATCACTAGATAATATAACACCAACAATGTGAAGGAAAATATATTAAAGTTTGGAAAAGCTACAAGGAACCAATGCTTCTTAGTTATAGCCACACAAAAAAAGTGCACATTAAAAAAGTATTCAACTTTTAGCTCAGTAGCACTTGAATCCAGCAAGAGGAAAAAACTAGTAACAAAAAGATGCAAAAATGTTCAACAAAAGATGCATTTGAAATCTGTTTCCATAAAGAACACACCCTTTTCAGACCAAAAGCAATCCCAGTTTAAAAATAAAAAGTCTGCACTTTTCAAAAAGAAACCATGACTACTCACAAATCCCAGTTTAAAAATCCACTTTTCAGAAAGATACCTTGAAATTGAATACTCAAAAAGGAAATTTATATAAAGTAGCACTACCTTATAAACTAAATCAAATAATTTTATTCTATACAAACACAAGAGTGAATCACAATATACTACCATAACGTGAAATTTCTGCATGCTCACATATTCAGAAACTTCATAAATCAGTTTTTTCTACCCAAATATAGTAAATTAGTAATTAAAACCTAAAAATTTTCACTTTCCTTATAACCTAAAAATTTTTACTTTCCTTATAACCTAGAAATTTCAGCTAAACACAACAACAAAGCTCACAATTGCTACAAAACTCACATGCAAGCTAAAATTCTGATCCCAATCCACAAATTCAAAATCAAAAACCCTAATATAAATCACAACATGCAAGCTAAAATTTTGATCCCAATCCACAAAATCAACAACCATCAAAAGCACAAATCCAATAACCAAAAAAAAAAAACCTAACCTGAAGAGCAGACAATTGCTCAGTATGAAATTTCTCAACATTATCATTCAAAAACTTCAAATGAAACTCAGAGCAAAGCTTTCCCGATTCCAAACAACTCCTAATCCTCTCCCAAGTATTCCCATTCGTAACCTTATTCTGCAACCAATTCGAATAATCCCCAAGCCTATACTCCTTATACCCCCGATTCGACAAAGCTTCACCCGCCCCTTTGTTAGTAACAACAAACGCAAAAATCGTGAAAGCGAAAAGAAGAACGATAAGCAAGAACATCACGAGAAGGTAGAACCATAGAAGCCATGAGACTCTGCAACAAGCACCGATTAAACCCATGAGAGAAACCACCATGAGGAAAACACCGAGGGCAATTATGGGTTTTTCCAGAAATCGTTCGCATTCGGTGGTGGATTGTTTGTGGAGCCAGATTCCCATGACTAGGATGGGGATTGAGAGGAGTAGGGTTAGGAAATTGAGGATTCCGATTAGGTTGTTACTGAAGCGAGACATGGTTGAATTTGATCGATGATGAAATGGGTCTTAGGGTTTTTATTTGTGGAAGAGAAAATGTAGTTTTATAATGGAGAAATTGAAAGGGTTGTTTTGATTGTTGAGAAAGACAGGTAAGGTGAAGTAACACGGAAATTGATTACAGAAAGAAAAAACAAAAATGTTAATCACTGATACGAATGAATTAATTTTACACGCTATTTACCAACGAGAGTGACGCGTTTCTGTTGGTTTCTGCAACGACTTATTCTCTATTGTGCAGAATGTTCAATAGTAGATAAATTTCAATTTTTTAATATTTTGATTAATAATATCATTTTCTTGGTTTTATATAATTTTCTGTATAAAAAAATAAAATTAAATATATTTTTTATTCCTATAAATATTTCATATTTTATTTTTAATCCTTATAAAAAAATATTTTATTTCTTACAAAATTTTATGCATATAGTTTAAGTATGGGTTATTTTTTAAAATTTTTAAAATTATTTAATTATTTTAAATTTTTAAATTTTTGAATAATTTTTTTCTGAGGGGCTCAGATACTATAAAATATTCTTTTATCAAATTATATAATTTTTTAAAATGAGAAGAATTAAATATGAATTTTTTAAATTTTAAAAGATAATAATAAAAGTAATGAAAATTTTGACTTATAAATTAAATTTTGAATTCGTTTTTATGATGAATGAGACTAAAAGTAAGTACATAATTATTTTGTGGGGATCAAAATATACTATTTTTTTATAGAGACTAAAAACAACTTTAATAATTTTATTGGGATCAAAAACATATTTAACTTTAAAATTTATTAAAATTTTATTAAGTTTGACTTATGATAATATCCTTAATTGTCATTGTCATGGAATCAATGATACGTTATTGTTATATATTTTGCTCGTGTATAAAATTGTTTTTTTACATTGTTTATAAATGTATTTAAATTAATTGTATAATCGTTTTTGTGCACATAAATAATATTGTTTATAAAAATATTTTTGATCAAATATATATTTTTTCGTGTATAAAGGTTATTTCACTTCTTGCTTTTTAATGGTGTCACATTTTCATTTCTTACAATAAATTTTTCTTCACTCTTTTTCCACTCAGCTTCTAACCATTTCTTTAACTACTATTTTAATATTTACTATAAATTAATACTTTACTCAATGCAAAGTAGATGGTATGTGTTGGTGCAAAAGTAAAATAAATGATGAAAAGAGAAATATTCTATTAAGAGAATGACGACTACACACTACTACACAAATTGCAATGATTGATACCCTATTTATAAACTAATACTAGGTTACTAGAATAAGATAAAAATACTAAAATATCCTCTAACAAACTTAGGGGTTAAGAAAATAGTACAACTAATAAATATGAATTACTTCTAATAGTATGCGGTCTATACACTTTTCATTTTCATTTTCCAAAGCTCTGCATTAATTTAATATTATTATTTTGAAAGATCTTTAAAGACTTTTTCAACAACTATGTCTACTCACTTACAGTCGGCTTCAATGTTACTCGATTTTCTCCATTTTTTCCATCTTACATCTTCCATTTTCTCCATCTTTCTTTGCAAACTCTTTCTACTCAATTGTTCCTCGGTTTTTTGTTTCTTCCTACCATTCTTCATGGCTCGACCTTTTGAGACGATTACCAACATCAACAAAACAAAAGAACTGTGGAAGATCAGAGTTAAGGTGCACCAGGACAGATTTTGCTCGATTTGTAATTTTCCGCTCATATCTGATTTTTTTTCACACATGCAATTATCTGCCATGCATGATTTTGTTGCAGAATTGTTAGCTGTTAGAAAATTTTATCCAATCGTCAGTCCTGATCATCAGAAGGCCATTGAGAAGGCTAAGAGGAAGCACCGAGGTCTCATAGCTAAAAAGAAATGTGATTATCTAATTCTCCGTTTAGCCTAAATTTTACTATCTCCTTATTTTTTTAGGAACATTGATTTATAATATTTTTTATTTTTTTAATTCTCGTACTTAAGTCTGTGTGATAATTTTGCTGTTAACGTTTCTATAATGTTTGTTTATTAGTTATTTTCTACAATTGTTCAGGTTGATCTTCAATGTCTATGTTGTTACAAAGATTTAGAGTTAGAAAAATATTAAGATGAGAGTGTTACTAATGTGTGATTTATCTCATTTAATTTTAATTTGTTTGTACATTATTATAATTTAAGGTATATATATATTTCTAATTTGATGATTGTTTATGCTAAATTTTGAATAATATTAAAAAATATTAAGACGGACATTACTTTAATGTGTAATTTATATCATTTAATTTCTATTTATTTATATTTTTTTAGATTGAGGATGAAAGTCTATCGAGAGGTGATTGAATATATGAATGAGAACTTCACAATTTAAAGGTGTTACATGGTAAAACTTCATTCACTCCCTCTGTCACTCTCTCAGAGCTTGATTCAAATAGTAATTCTGAATTATACTTTTGAAGTTTATTTATTATTCTCTACTTTAGGCATAGATGGGCCGGTAGATATGAATCACACTTATGGGATAATAATTGGAAGAAAGAAGGTCAAACAAGAAAATGAGACAAAATTAGTGATGTAATCCTTTCGTTAATATATGGTATTAAAGTTGTATAATTGATTTTTATGTGTTTGATTATTTTTTAAAATATATTAAATAAAATTCAAAAAAATTTACAAATAAAATTTATATACGGGTTTAATATTGATTCATATATTTTTATAAATAATATCAAATAAAAAATAATATTTATATACGAAAAAAATATATGGTTGATTAAAACATTTTATATTCGGGACACGAAAAATTCTACTTATAAAGTAAAGGCAAAATAACCTTTTTAGTCCTTTAACTTTTGTTTGGGGTCCATGTTGGTCCTTTATTTTTAAAAAATGGCAAGTTGATCCTTTAACTTTTAAATTGGTGTCATGTTTATCCTTCCGTGTGTTGTCGTTAGTCAAACTTTAAAAAAATTGTCACGTTTGTCCAGGTGGAGTTGCTGACGTGGATATGAAGTGTCTTAGAGGAAGAAAAACTCAGACTAACGTTTCGATTACCCACCATTACCCAGAAGAAGAAGGCACGACAAGCTTGGAGAAGTGTAACCACTACCCACCATTACCCAGACAATTCAAGGTTTGCAGACGCGAAGATTCAAGACGCGAAGGATTGAGGGTTTTCTGATTAAGGATTGAAGACGATTCAAGAGACATAATCAAAAGGTTAGTTCATTTCTCTCTGATTTAGGGTTTTCTGGTAGAGGTTCAGATTTAGGATTTAGAGGTTCACAGATGAAGGTCGTAGTGTATATGAGAATGGAGTAGTAGATGATTTGAGGGTAGATGTAGACATATGGAGTTATTTTGAGCTAGTTGGTGTATTGAAAGACTTAGGTTATAGGGAGTTTGAAACAATATTTTACAAGGACCCTCAATTTGGGATGAATCCACTTATTAATGACAATGGTGCTTTAGAAATTGCAGATATGTATAGGGTGCACCAAAATGTTGATATTTATATTAAACACACATTGTCTCAACCTGACTATTGTGATGTTGTTGTTGATGAAGTTGATGAGGACCCTGCTGAAATTGTAGATGAGGTAGAGGAGTTACTTAGTCAACTGCATGAAGAAGTTGTGGAAGATGAACAAACTACTATTGGTTTGGAAGAAGGTGATGTTAGGGTTGATGAAGCTACTGTTGGGTTGGAGGAAGGTGAAGTTAGAGTTGATAAAGCCACTGCTGGGTTGGAGGAAGGGAATCCTGCAGGGGATGTTAGAGTTGATGAGGATCCTGCAGTGGATGAACATATTGTTGGAGTTGAAAAAGGGAGTGCTGCAGGGGAAGAAGGTAATGTTGGAGTTGAAAAAAGGAGTGCTACAGGGGAACAAGGTAATGTTGGAGTTGAAAAAGGGAGTGCTACAGGGGAACAAGGTAACGTTGGAGTTGGAAAAGGTAAAGTTGCAATGTATGATGACTTAAGTTTATCTTCTGATGATAGTGAAGATGAGGACTACAATTATGATAGTGCACAACATGTGGCTTTTGAGGATGAGTCTGATGGGTGGGATGAGATTAAGTAGGATGAACTTGATGCCCTAGTTGGTCATGAAAATGATGGAAATGGAGAAGTTGTAGAAAATGATGGTAAAGGGAATGACAATGACAGTGAGGAAATGCAAAGTGGTTGTGACAGTGATGATAGCAGTGGAGTTGTAAGAAAAAACATCCAATTTTCAAATAGCCAAAAGACATGACAGATTACAAGTGGGAAGTGGGAGTGTACTTTAGTTCAAAAGGTGATTTTAGGGAAGCAATAACAACTTATGCTGTGCAAAATGGTAGAGACCTAAGGTTTATAAAAAATGACAGAGTTAGGGTAAGGGTTAGATGTAAAGTTGGTTGTGAGTGGGAGGCTTATTGTAGCCAGTTGTCAAATGAAGACACTTGGCAACTCAGGAAAGTAATTGACAAACACAGTTGTAGTAGAGAGTATAATGTGAAGCTAATGAGTACAAAGTGGTTGAGTAAAAGAATTCAAAATAGCTTGAAAAACAATCCAAGGTTGAGTATAAAGGATATCAAGGAGAAGGCACAAAAAAAGTGGAATGTTGGGGTCAACAAAACCAAAGTTATAAGAGCAAGATTTGCAGCTAGAGACTATGTAGATGGTTCCTTTTTGGGAGATTACACAAGGGTCTATGACTACTGTCATGAACTGTTAAGAGCCAATCCAGGGTCAATAGTTAAGCTCAATGTTGAGCCTGTACAAGTAGGTGTTAAGGATGAAAGACCATATTTTAGAAGGCTTTACGTATGTTATGCTGCGTGTAAGGAAAGCTTTAAGTTGTGCAGGCATGTAATAGGTCTAGATGGGTGTTTTCTTAAGGGGTTGTGTGGAGGGCAGATACTAGCTGCCATTGGGAGGATTCCTAATGATCAGATGCTTCCCATAGCATATGCAGCTGTGGAG